GAACCACAGAGGAAAGGGAACACCATCCCTCATCAGTAACTATGGAACCACAGAGGAAAGGGAACACCATCCCTCATCAGTAACTATGGAACCACAGAGGAAAGGGAACACCATCCCTCATCAGTAACTATGGAACCACAGAGAAAAGGGAACACCATCCCTCATCAGTAACCACAGAGAAAAGGGAATATCATCCCTCATCAGTAACCATGGAGAAAAGGATATACCATCCTTCATCAGTAACCACAGAGAAAAAGTATATCATCCTCATCAGTAACTATGGAACCACAGAGAAAAGGGAACACCATCCCTCATCAGTAACCACAGAGAAAAGGGAATATCATCCCTCATCAGTAACCATGGAACCACAGAGGAAAGGGAACACCATCCCTCATCAGTAACTATGGAACCACAGAGGAAAGGGAACACCATCCCTCATCAGTAACCACAGAGAAAAGGGAATATCATCCCTCATCAGTAACCATGGAGAAAAGGATATACCATCCCTCATCAGTAACCACAGAGAAAAGGATATACCATCCCTCATCAGTAACCACAGAGAAAAGGGTATATCATCCTTCATCAGTAACCACAGAGAAAAGGGTATATCATCCCTCATCAGTAACCACAGAGAAAAAGTATATCATCCCTCATCAGTAACCACAGAGAAAAAGTATATCATCCCTCATCAGTAACCACAGAGAAAAAATATATCATCCCTCATCAGTAACCACAGAGAAAAAGTTATATCATTCCTAATCAGTAACCATGAAGAAATATATATATATATATATATCAAGTCTATTTCAAACAGTACTGATATTTCTAGGTCTGTTTCTTAATACTACATATCAATTAAAGTTACAATAAATGTATAATAACATAAATTTTATGTAATAACTTACACCTGTACCAGTTTATTCTCAATTTATAGGTTATCAGAAGTAAGACTTCTGTGACAGTCCAATAAAACTAAGAACATGCTTATGAAAATCAAAAGAGATTTAGTGCAGAAACCAGGATTATCAAATTAAAAAGTTAATCAGTGTTTGAATATCAAAATAGAAACAATAACATCACATTATACTTACCACACATCAGTTTCAGAATCACTTATCTTCACAACTGAAACCATTTCTTCAATATACTGCATGATGCTAAAATTACAAAGTAATTAACCATTTTTCTTATTTAAGGTAATAACGTATACAAAACATCATTAATGTACATCGATTAAGACAATAACATAGCACTAAAACTTAATCAGACCAATTTTCTTCCTGCTTTGTTCAAAGATGAGTATTAAGTTTAGCTCAAAAAATATTAGTATTTAAATAATGAAAAGTTTAGGGATTTAAATACTGTTGTTCTTCTGTTATCATAAAAGCATTAATTTTCCTAGTTTATAAGTTGGGTATAGTTTGTTAAATGTTCTACAAAATACAGTAAAAGTGAAATGTTCTTTACAATCTATAAATGATTAAAGTTTAACATTTTATACAAAGTCATTGTAGAGTTTTAAATCTTCCTGTTGGTCATTGAAAGCTGATGTCAACATTAATCTTCAGGCCTCATTATCTGACATTCTAGTATAAATCTGAGTCATTGTAAAACTCGTTTTTACATCACCTACACGACAAGTCACAAAGCACTAATAATTGTTTGAATATTGAGCTAACACTTGCAACAAATAATTTTTTATATTAGCATATTTTTCATTAAAATATGACATACCCTCCTATGCATGTGACAAACTCAATTAATATATATATATTTTTTTTATAATTCACTTATTATTATAATACAATCATGCTCAACTAACCTTTGTAGGCATAGTTTAGTTTCATTTGTAAGGTAGTTATCAATTTCCTTTTTATCAGTGTTAATGTCAACAAGTTTCATATACTTCCACTCACTGGATGAAGTGAAAGAGTCCTCACCCAAACACTCGTCTTTCTGGTCATCACGGACGAAGGTGGCCAAGTCCTCAAGAAGCTTACTCAATCCATTATCAAGATCACTACATAAACTTAACAATAAAGAAACTATATTAATAGATTATCTAACTTGTAAAATCACGGACAAAAATATATATTCAACAATAAACGATCCCTTCTAATACAAACAAAATCAAATAAATAGTAATTTCTTTACAGGCACATTTTGATATTGTATTAAGAGTAAAAACAAAACAAAAATAAAACAACATTCTTTGGCATGCTGAAAAGTAAAATCTTTATTACAGGTTACAGCCGACTATTTTGGGTAACACTTATCATCAATGAAGACTGGTGCAGATAATGAAGATTTTACCTTTCGTTGCACTAAATGTTTTTGTGTTTGTTTGTTTTTTACTCTCAATATCAAATAAATAGTTTGATAAAATTACAATATACAATACTATATTTCCTATCGTTGTAGATTGGAACCAATATTTCCTGTGCATTTCTAATTATTTATATTATGTACATGAACCATAACACAGAAAAATTTCCTGTAAATACGATTTTCACAAGGAAGATAATTTTACTATAATTTCAATTTTCCAAAGGTATGTTTGTTTTATAGTTAATTTAGTTGTCATTAGACATTAGTATTAAGCCTACCATATATTGCTGCACATAAGTCAATTTTCTTTATGTTATTCTAAAAAAGTGGACTCGACTAATACAACAGATACAAAAAACATGTAGGAAAATTCTCGACTGTGAGTGGAGCCTTGAGATTGAGTGAATCGACCTACTTAGACACACCGAACAATATTCTTCACATATTAAGCAATTTTAAGGAAACCTTAAAACAAGGAACATGCCTGTTTGTGTGTATGAATGCTTTAATTGAATAAACAAAATTAAAAAAAATCACTTCTATTTCACACAGTCTATCACCACACGTGTGAAACATTATTTACTTAACACTGACATGACTCATGACATGCCACCTTGGCAGAATGAATTGTGCAGTAGTAAAAACCAATCGGAGCCTATCACAATATGTGTGAAACATTATTTACTTAACACTGACATGACTCATGACATGCCGACCTTGGCAGAATGAATTGTGCAGTAGTAAAAACCAATCGGAGCCTATCACAATATGTGTGAAACATTATTTACTTAACACTGACATGACTCATGACACGCTGACCTTGGCAAAATGAACTGTGGAGTAATAACAACCAATCGAAGCCTATCACAATATGTGTGAAACATTATTTACTTAACACTGACATGA